CCCCAAGAGGGGATGGCCCCCCCGCCCCAGTGACAAAGCGGGGATTTCATTCACCTTGTTCTGTCACCTGTGATTTCTGCTGTCCTAGTGTAACCCCATGTGTGTGTGTGCCTCAGTTTCCCTGGGCCCTGCACCAATAGCAAGATGGGGATGGGAAGACGGACAAAGGCCGGAGGAGGAGCCAGAGTGGGGGGCTAGGACAGGCAGCAGGGAATGGGTCTGTCTGGGCTGGCTTGAGGTGCAGGACACGAGCCAGGCCCTGGCTCAGGGCCCCCCCAACCCCCAACTGGATGGTCCTGGTTCCGGGGCTGACATAAACCTTCTGTCCTACCTGCTGCCTGAGAATCCTCTCTGGCCGCGGATGGGGCGCTGGGCCCAAAGACTCCCCCATATCTCATCCCCCGCGAGCCGGCCCCGTAAAATAGTCCCAAGTGTCTCCCGCCATCAAGCACTAATTTAGCGTTAGATCTGGGGACAGGACTCGGGAATCCTGGCTCCCAGCTTCCCTCCCCACCATTCTAACCGCTAGGCCCCACACCCCGGAGAGACCCCAGGGTACCCTGCGCCTCCCGTACCCTTGGCGGCATCTTTAAGGCTGGCGTCCAGAGCCGGCCCCGTAAAATAGTCCCAAGTGTCTCCCGCCATCAAGCACTAATTTAGCGTTAGATCTGGGGACAGGACTCGGGAATCCTGGCTCCCAGCTTCCCTCCCCACCATTCTAACCGCTAGGCCCCACACCCCGGAGAGACCCCAGGGTACCCTGCGCCTCCCGTACCCTTGGCGGCATCTTTAAGGCTGGCGTCCAGGGAGAGGATGTTTTTCGTCACTAATTCCAGCGGCCCCGGCCGTTGCAGGAGTTTCTCTTTCAGATCCTCGGCCAGACGCGTCTTCTTCTCCTTCCGCTCCGAGGGGTCCCCCCCAGACTCTGCCGGGGGAGGGGCACAGAGTGAGTGAGGGGCACAGGCCAAGGGGGGGGGTGGAATCCAAGGACTATGTGCCCATCGTGGGACTCGGACGCCAGGGGCCCAGGTGGCTGGCTAGTGAGCCAGAGATGGGCTGGGGCAAAGGATTGGGGACCCTGCTGTCCTGGGGGGGTTCCTGATGAGCCGGGGATGGGATGAGGGACCCTGCTGTCCTGGGGGGGTTCCTG